TGATGTGGGGACCTGTAGTAGGGAGTTCCAGTCTCCAAACAGAAACCAGCAACAAGTATCTTTAGAACTCTTCTTCAGGTGACATAATAAAAACAATATATTGACATGTCCTGTGAGGAAGTATGTGAGATGTGCTTTATAGAAATATACAGATACAGAAGTACATATGTCACATGTGTGCAGCTCAGTGAGTGGGTCTGTGCACTGTCACCTGGATCACGAGACAGAATTCCTTTACCTCCTTTGCCCTCTTCCTGTCAGTAACCTAGTTCTGACACTTAACAGCATAGAATAAATAATTGTGCCTCTTTCATGCTTTATAAGTGGAACACATACAGTATGTGCTCTTCTGTACCTTTTGCTCCACATTATGCTTGTGAGCTTCATGCATGCTCTATCTGCAGATGAAGGCCACTCCTTCTTAGACTTGTGCAATAGTTTACATGAATATACTACAATTTATGGATCCATTTTACTGCAGGTGACAGTGTAGGTGTTGGCTATTATGGACAGTGTTGCTGTGAATATTCTCACCATGTCTCTGGTTGGACATAGGGAGGTATCTCTGTTGGCATGTACCTAGGAGGGCAGTTATGAAGTCAGGGGACAAAAATGTCCATCTTTAATGGATCCTGCCAATGCAATATTCCCAAGAGGTTGTACCTCTGTACCTCCTTACATTTAATAAAGTTCAAAATTCCCCTAAAAGATAGATATGATCATTCCCCCTCCCTTTTTGGAGGAACAAATAAAAACTCAATAGCCCAGAGTTAAATACTTACAGTAATGGGAGTCTGTCCAAAGCCCACAGAATTCCTCACCTCCCTGAACTAATTTCAATCTTGGGAGAGCTCATGCCTTGACCTCCCTTACTGGCTCTGGTTGCACCTTGGCAGATGTACTAAGGTAGAACTGAGTGTGGTGTGGTGTCAGGAGGGGTGTAGATTGGGAGAAGGAGCAAATTTCTGAGGCTGTCATATAAGAGCAAGCCTCCATCCACTTCGAAGACACACACACACACACACACACACACAGAGAGAGAGAGAGAGAGAGAGAGAGAGAGAGAGATATGCTCATATCCTATGTCTTTGCCCAAGTATGGGGACAAGTGGGTACATCAGGCTTTGGTAATTGGGTGGGCAGGACATGAATCTCAGGTTTCAGAGAGTTCTTCCAGATATGGATGGGGCCCTAGGTGATGAAAGCTTTTGTTGACTTCTCAGTGACAATACTTTTGATGGTCCAACATTAGGAGTACATCTGTCAGGATTCTTGGTCAAAACCCAACTCAAATTTGCTTAAAAATCAAGAGTTTTGGTCATGTGTGACTAATTAGAACAAATTTTTTAAAAAAATGAAGTTTGGCTCAGGTAAAGAAAGTCTTAGAATTCACTGGCCTTCTGTCGTGGCTGGATCTAAGTGTTAGGACCTCTAGGAATCTCTCTCTAGCCATCTCTAGGCTCTTATTTCTTCTTTGTTGTCTTCATTCCTAGACTAGATCTTCTCCTATAATAGCTGTTGTGCTTGTCATCAAGTCCGGACTTTCCTCTCATAATATGACGACATGATACAAAGAAAGAAGGCCCTTCTCCCAATAATTCCAGTAAAAGTCCCAATTTGATTCAGTTTGGGTCAAATCTAATCTATCTCCAGACAAATCACTGTGACCAGGAGAGTGGGGTGTTCTCATTGGCTAAACTGGGTCATGTCACCCGTGATTGGGGTGACCTCACCTGAGTGACACAGACTGAGGTTACCATTTACCTGCCAAATGGGATGAAGGGTGGCAAAACCAATAGAGTCATTAGAGGGCTTTTTCAGTCCTGCTGAGGGGCAGAAGAGGGAAGCCGACAAGAAGATTCTAGAGGGAAAACTGGCAAGCCCATGCCTTCCCAGCCATTCCTGGCTCTAGATACAGCCCTGACTCGCTCTTGAGTCTATGTGACGCTCAGCTAAAACTCCATGGCAGTTGGAAAAGGGAGAAAAGAAACTGGAAGGAGGGGCTGGGGAGGGCAAATGGCAGCCAGATCTTCTGAGCCATCCTGGTGGCAAATGGCCCACATGTCAGAGTTGTGTGAGCCCCCCCCTGCCTCCTGAGCAGCCGGATTGTGAGACATTTGCAAAGATGTTCACCCCACATAAAGAGTGTGCTGATCCATAATTATGTAAATTAGTTGGCAATTAGATAATGTCACTCACTTTCCCTCTCTTGCTCGATTCCCACACAACAGATAAGTGTTTTGAGTTTCTGCACCAGTCGGGGGCCCTCTGTGGGGGCTCTGGGGCAAACCACCTGCACCCATGACTTCTTGCGCCCTTCTGTGGCTCAAGAGAGGGTGGAAGTTGGCTGAAAGGGTGAAGAAGGATCTCTGGCTCCCAGTGTCCCATTTCTTGAGCCTGGCATGCCCCACTGGATGGCTAAAGAAGGCTGAAGAATGACTGTTGGGGATGTTGGCTGGAGACCTGTGATAGTTAATGTAGGATCATCTCTACCTTTTGGCCATATTGGCAGTTTCCCAGAAGCTGTGGAAATACCCACAATCCAAGAAAGAAATTCAAAGTTTGGGGGGTGGGGGACAATGTGGATAGACCATAGGGTGTCAAGTCTAGCTAGACCAGTTTTGATTCTCCCATTCCTGAAAACAGATCCACCGTCATCTGTGGGCAGGACAGCTTAATTTTCCTGTCAGCCTTTTTGATCCCTCCTGTTGCAGGTTGGGGGAACACTTGTGTCTCCAAGGTTGGTCTGCGCTGGAGAGGAAGGGAGAGAGTCTGAGGGGGAAGTTCACCTGGGCAGGATTGAGTGGCCACCCCCAAAGCTGGCTGGGTAAATTCCCATGACCCTCTTCCATGGGGGAGTGTTCCTGGGCAGAGTATGGTTTTAAATTTATGGGTTTCCCCAGACCACTGAGTAGGTACTGGTTTGTTCTTTGAGGTTATGGGGATTCAGGATTGCTGTGCTTGTGTGTAGTGGGGTCATGTGGAGGCCTCAGGGTTGCTGGTTAGCTTCTGTTTTACTGTTCATGACAAGCCCCTGTGGCAAGCCCCTGGTGAGGCAGTTGCTTCCCCCAGACAGCCCTCCACCAAGCTGTCTGGTTCCAGAGCTGGGCTTTAGTGTATCTATAAATATACTGGTCTCCCGCCAGTATATTATAGATATTATAGATACACTATAATATACTTTGTGACACTCTAAGGGTGAGAATGGTGTATTATTCTGCAGTAGTGCCTGGAATGAACTGGAGCTCTGTGAACAATTGGAGAGAGTTCCTCCTTTGACTTGGTTGGCATACCTTGCCTAACACAATGATCCCATGCTTAGAGATTTCATCTCTCCTGATCTTTCCCTGTGAACCTGCCTTCCACTCACTCCACTCCAATAGCACCAGCCTCCTGCAGATTCAACTTTTGGACTGGCTATGACTTCTGGAACATTCTTCCTAGATATTCACATGGTTAATTCCCATGCCCTCTTTCAGGTCTTTCCTTATACCTCACCTTCTTACAGACCGCGGTTTGTGGTGTTTGCCTATTCCCATGGTGTAAATCCCCCTAAGTAGTTGATCTCATGTTACCAAAGTGATATGAACCCCGCAAACTTTTCTGAACTCTTAGAAGTGGGATTTCATAAGCCCATAGGGGTTGGCACCAGCATGCTCCTGTGTTCATGTTCCAGTTAAGTATCCCTATGCCACCAGAGATGCTTGTGACACAGGTACACTGCATGGATAAACCAGTCTACAAAACCAGGGCTTTCCTTATGATGGATTTAACCAGCTTTTGTTGATGGGGTTGGTTTGTTCCTGGGGAAGGGACAGAATCTTCCTCTTCAAAGCATGGGCAAATGCCAGCTTTGTTGGTGTTATCATTATGAAACACTGCTGGGGACCAGGGTGAATTATCAAGCATGCCAAGTAATAACTTGGAAATTATACACACTGGTGTATCTGAACAGAAAACTCTCTACTTCTGCTTGATGGGCCAGTGTCTGCCCTCAGAAACCAAGTCACTAACGCATCTGAGTACTGGTGCGTTTCTAATCCTTGTATCCTACACATCACATACTCTAGGTCTGTGCATTTGTTGACTATTCAGTTGTTACCCATTCTCCAGTTTTCATAATTTCTTAAAGTATTGTGTTTTCATGTGGTACCCTCTCTCCACTGACATACACACACCCACCTACTCAGATATGCACTAACAACCTTCTTTCTACCCCTTGCCATTCCAGAAATTAAAAAAGGAAGCCTAGCATTTACTGATCACCTACTATGCATAAAATCTTTTGCTAAGATCTTCCCATATCTCCTCGTGTAATCCTCCCTTCAATCATGAAAAGAGGCTGTAATCTTCTCCACTTTCAAATGCGAAAAATAGAATCTGAGATAAGACATTTTCTCAAAGTTCTACACTACAGGAACTAGAAATTAAACTCTGCCTTTTACATTATTTAACCTCAAAGCACATTTTTTTCCCCTGTAAGAGCTTTTCTAATATTTAGAAACAGATGAGGCTTGTCATACTTACTGCTCACCTTCTAATTCATGGGCACTGATTTTTTGAAATACTTCTTTCAAAAATTTAAGGGCAGGAATCTATCTTAGGCCCACCCAAGCAGTGGATTGTCAAATTGAAAAAGTAAAAAAAAAAATCTTTAAAAAATGATGAATTTTAATAGGTGGATAAGTGAAAATTATGTGTATTTGAGTGTGTGAAATGTTAGCACTTAGGGATAAATTTTGGCTATGTGACTCTGTGGTATGAATATTATAAAATGTGCTGATATGGCTTTGGGGTTTAATACTACTTTTGCAGCCTAGTGATCCTTCTGAGTGGGGCTGGGGTCCTGCTGGGGCTGGGGAAGACCCAGGCCCTCCTTGATACAGGAGTCCCTGTCTCCTGGCCCTCACTCAGCTGGGAAATAGGATGCAGTCTTTTCCGACAACACATGTCCTAACTTTCCTCTCCTTCTCTCTTCTCCCCCTCCCCTTCTTCCATAGGTCTTTTCTCCGGAGTCCTGGGAGGTGGGTTATGGGCAGGCCTGCCCCTGGCTGGCACCATGTCGCCTGAGTCTGCTTGCGCCCTGCGCTGGGCCCGGCTCTGCCTGAGCACTCAGCTTCTCTCTGCTTCCCTTCCTGCGGCCCGCCACTGCTGAGGAGGTAGACCCTCAGGACTGCCCTTGGCATTTCTACCTTTCGCCCAGCTCACCTTGCTGCCTGCTCCTCCTCCATCACGGCACCGCTGACCTCAGCCCTGTCCCCGGCCTCCCTGGCTGGGGCTTTCGGGGGTCCATTGGGAGGATCTCGTTGCTGAAGGCTTCCTCCTGCACGGCGCCTTCTCCTCCTCAAATCAAGGCCTCCGGATCCACATGGATAGCTGAGATCTTGTCTTGGAGAAAGACACTCGTCCTCACCTTCCCACCCAGTGCCATTCTCTCCTGTCTATTTTCCTGCCTCTTTACTGGATTTCTTGCTCGTGCCCATCTGGGACCGTCTTGTTCTCTTTCCTCCTGCTTCTCCCTCTTGATATTTGTGTGTGTGCCTCCTTCCTCCTGTGTGTTCTCTCTTCCCACTCTGTCTTGTCTGCCTCTCTCCCTTCCACCACCAAAGGGAGATCCTTCCCCTGTTCCTGGCCTGTGCTCCTCGGGGGCTCTGTGCCCGCAGCCAGGATGAGCTTCACTCTCCACTCAGTTTTCTTCACCCTCAAGGCCAGCATCCTGCTGGGGTCCCTGCTGGGGCTCTGCTTGGGCCTGGAGTTCATGGGCCTCCCCAACCAGTGGGCCCGCTACCTCCGCTGGGACGCCAGCACGCGCAGTGATCTGAGCTTCCAGTTCAAGACCAACGTCTCCACGGGGCTGCTCCTCTACCTGGACGATGGTGGCGTCTGTGACTTCCTCTGCCTCTCCCTGGTGGATGGCCGCGTTCAGCTCCGCTTTAGCATGGACTGCGCTGAGACTGCCGTGCTGTCCAACAAGCAGGTGAACGACAGCAGCTGGCACTTCCTCATGGTGAGCCGCGATCGCCTGCGCACCGTGCTGGTGCTGGATGGCGAGGGCCAGTCTGGGGAGCTGCAGCCCCAGCGGCCGTACATGGATGTGGTCAGTGACTTGTTCCTTGGTGGAGTCCCCGCTGACATTCGGCCTTCTGCCCTGACCCTTGATGGAGTACAGGCCATGCCCGGCTTCAAGGGATTAATCATGGATCTCAAATATGGCAACTCGGAGCCTCGGCTTCTGGGGAGCCAGGGTGTCCAGATGGAAGCCGAGGGACCCTGTGGTGAGCGTCCCTGTGAAAATGGAGGGATCTGCTTCCTCCTGGACGGCCACCCCACCTGTGACTGTTCTACCACTGGCTATGGTGGCACGCTGTGCTCAGAAGGTAAAGTCCTCTCCCCTCTCCATTCTTGATAGAGATCCACCCATTGGAGTGAGTGAGGGCCCAGGTGCATGATAGAAGTGAGTTCTATGTTCAAGTGCATCTTAAGCTGCCTGTTAAAAGAGAATTGGGCCCTGAGGAGGCAGAGGAAATCCTTTGCTTGCTCTCAATGGAAAAATCTATCAGATCTCAGCTGGAGGAGAATCCTGGCCACTCAACCAGAGGCTGTGTACTCAACTCAAAGGGCTACATGGAGAAGACTGAAGAGTCCTCTCCAGCTTGGCTCCTTCTGCTGCAGCATGGTTGAGCAGGATCAACACTAAACAAGAAATTAGATAAAAATTGGCAAAGTGGTTGTCTCTGTCCTCATGACCCTTTAAGACTTGGGTGCTTGGGGATTATGACCCCCAGCATAAGGAATGCCTGTGCAGAGAATGAGGGCAGATGGATTGCAGGGTCCTTAGGCAGCCCTGTTATAAACCCAACCCTTCTGTCACACCCTCAAGCTTGGGGGGGGGGTGGTATCTAGAAGGTGGTGAAGCCTTTCTCCCTTCTTATTCTAATAATGAGGATTTTTCACATGAGGACTTTGGATGTGGTTCCCTTTCCTGTCCTATCCACATTCCAAGAACAGTGCGGACAGGCACTGAAATTGACTGGATCCTTGTTTAACCAAGCCCTGCAAGCTTCTCCAGCATAGTTTGGAGCACCCTTCAAGTTCAACTACCACTTCCCAGGGAGTAGGAGGGATGACGCTGCACAAGGGTAGGCTGCACTTGCCTTGTGCACTAAATTCTTTTGGGAATCAGATCTGGGAGAAGTGGCCCAGACTTTAATTTGACAAATGCTCAAAATGCAAATTCCTAGACTCACCACCCACTTAGATTTAGGTAAGAGGGACCATCAAGGTGACCAAGTGTGTGGAAACTGATCAGACAGATATGTGTCTGGGGAGACTAGGAACTTGCCTTTCTCCTGTCCTTCCTGAGTTAAGCCTTGAATTCTCCTGGAGATGTTTTGTGTCGCCATCCGATGCTGGTCTCTTCATGGAGGTGGCAGCATGTTCTAGGGCAGGACAGTGGTCCCCAACCTTGGTTGCACTTTAGGATCACCTGGGAGAATTTAAAAACATCCAGGCTCTACCTAGGCTCACTTAGATTCCCAGGGGTAGAAATCCAAGCATCTATATACTTTTATATCTTCCCATGACTCTAGTATGCAATCAAGGGTAAGAACCAGCTGGTACAAGGTACAGGGAGGTTGAGGATGTGGTCAGGTGAGTGACTTGCTCCTAATTTTCAAGATCTCTTCATTCAGGTAAGGCCCCTCCGCCCTGGGGTTTTTGAGTAAGATTATGTTTACAAGGGTTTCTTAAACATTTCTGAAACAGCCCAAATCCTAAAGCAAGTTATGATTGATATGAATTTTAGCTACCAGTAGCTATTTAAAAATATTTTAAAAAATCAAAGTTTCTTCTGCAGGTGGTACATGCTGGATACTAGGACACATGGAGGTTTTCTTGGAAGCTGCATTTGGAGGTCATGCCCGAGTTGTTGCTGGAATGTTCCCTGAGGCTCACTTCTTTCCTGTACTACTGGGTTGGGCATCATATCTCCCTTTCTATGGGTGGGCTGTCCAAGAGGAAGATGCCAGACAGACACATTGTCCTTCTAGGGCTTCTCTTCACCCTTACTGAACTCATCAGGGAAAAGGTGGGCAAGAGGGGCAGAGAGAACCCCAATCCACAAAAATAACTTGGGGAATGTGATCATTGAAATGCTTTTCACAAGCAGGTGCCTTCTGGAGCTGACCAATGTTCCAGAGCTTCTTGTCTTTGGAAAAAGTTCTGCCTGAAGACGCTGACATGATCACTTGTTTTCTCATTTGCCCAAAGGATCTGTTTTGTTCTCAGAACGTGCATTGGAAGCTGGCATTCTTCCTTTCTAGGGACCAGGGTGTTTGCAAGTGTGTTGTTAACTTGCTGATTATCCCTGATTGCATTTTTTTGTGTTTAAAAAGAACTCATTTCCTCTGGGCAGGTTTGGATCAGCACTTTCCTGCAGAAAGAATCTCTATACTGTATATGTATACAATTTGCCTTTTCTCTCTTATTTATTTTTGTATGTGTGTGTTTTCCAGTCTCCAGTGGAATTTCTTCAGAAGAGATCATATGCAGTAATTGTTAAATAGCTGAATGCAATATGTGTATTTTAATAATTGTTCTTTCTACAAGGTTCAGATCACATCTTGGCCATGGATTGATAACTCTTATTTGTTGAAGGCAAACACACAACATTAATTATTTGTTCTCCTGATGCATACATGGAATAAATAAACTGTTTAACAGTAACATTTGGCCAGCCTGGAACAGAACCGTACAAAGGTTGAGGCAGGGATGGGTGGTGGGGGAAGAAACAGAATTTACTGTTGATAACTTGGAGCCCGATGATCCCAGTAATTGTCATAATAGTTAATCAATCACAAAAACGCATCACAGCGATTAGAAAATACCCACTGCCTCCACACATAGTTAATTTTTAGAGGAAGCAAAAAATTTCACCTGTGAAATATTAAGGGCAAAATCGTAGCAGCTGCTCAGTGTCAAGAAGTTCTGCATAAAACAAGACAAACAGCCGAAACAAATGCCTGCCCATTTTCCCAAGGATAAAATGGTGAAGTGGGAAGTGAGATTGTAGCCATCCCTGTCCCCCTTAAATTGCACAAGGCAGAGAACTGAAACCGGAGGATGTATCCCCAGCGGTGAATATTATGTATCAAGTACCTGATCATCCCAACTTGCGGGATGGACCCTGCCATTTGATGGTGTGAGGGCTTGCACCTGGCATGGAAGATTTTTTAATGGCTTGGTGCTTTGGCAGTTCCAAGAATAGGGAGGGCTGAGGTTCTTGCCCCATCACACGGACATGGTCAGGACCTGTTGGAGTCACCCTTTATGGTCCATTAGCTAGTAACATGCCTGGGATGTTGCTGTGGCCTGTCTGGCTCTCCATGCCTTGATGGCTCCAAAATGTCCCCATGATGCACCCCAGGAAGAGTGCACAGAGAGACCCATCTCCTGTAGTGCTGCTTTGGACTATGCTGATTCCCTGTTGGGAAGACACAAGATATTGCTGTGGGAGATCTGGGCCCAGGGTAAGAGCTAAAGGATGCAGTATGTTCCCTTTCATTAGGTGTGCAATGGGCACACCTATTAGTCCTGGCCACTCACTGAATTCTGCACAGCTTCCTTGAGAAATCTTCATTCCAAGGCTCCCACCCCAATTAATAGTAACACTGAACATTATGGCATATGATGGATAGACGGAGAAGAGGTCCCAAATTTTTACCTGACAAATAAATACTTTGGTGTGCAACCAGTAGTGATCTTGGAGGACCGAAGTGTAGAAAAGTCAAAATGATTTTAAAAAATAATGCATAACTGGTTTGGAATATAGTCAATCAACAGCACAGCATGTTCACCTGGCTTTTTGTTTAGCTTATTCCTGTAATGGTAGCCTCCAGGCTGGAGAAGGGGTAGCCTCAGCTCCTTCAGGGAACAGCCTCTTCATGGGAAAGGGTTTGCCATTAACTTGAATTGAGTTTGAATTCGATTATTTTTTTTTAAACATTCTTCGTTATGAATGTGCATGTATTGAATTTCTCAACACCCTTATGGTTGTGAAGCATTGATTCACTGCCAAGGTATATAAATTTCAGTACCAGTTTCCCTGAAGAGTCCATTTAACACAGAGTCAGGATGTTGCAGGGAGAGAGTAGAGCCAGGGAAAAGGGAGAAGTCTCCATGAGTCCATCTCCGCTCCTGATCCTCATGACACAGGCCTACCTGTGTCACATAGCATTTGTATGACCACAGTTTGGGATAAATTTAGTGAAGTGTCCTATTCCACTGGCAAAGACAAAGTGGGTTCTGTGTCTGCTGCCTTCTCCTCCTGACTTGGGTAGCTGCCCAGACCAGAAGATGCTTGTCTTGAGTCTCAGCCATTGTTTTCAGTTGTTGGGATCCTGTGGTGAGGTACAGTGGAGGGTGGTGTCCATAGGGACCAGAGCCTTTTACAAGGGCACCATGGTGAGATACCCACTAGTGACCATCCCCCATCCCTCTTGCTACCTGAAGCTGACATCCTACTGAGGTTGTTTGATGTCTTCATGCCTCTGTGTGGCCTTCAAAATGAACTTAAGCTACTTTTCTTTTTTTGAGAATGGAGTGACTCTTCCCCCATCTCTCAAAGCCAGAATGAGGATGGGATGGCGTATACCCAGCAGAGACTGCTTATCCCTGAGCATTTGCTGAGGTCCAGAGATATCAGACTCGTAGTTGAGTTACCAGTGATGGCCCCAGTTGGGGGCACTTGAGTAAAAACAGTCGTGTCCCCTCCTTCTCCCCATTGCACACCCTGCTGACATTGTCACATGGCATTGTTCCTAATCTGTGTCAGCTATGAATGGCCTTGGATGGATGGGGACCACAGGGGAGTGGTGAGTAATCAGAGGGGAAAGGAGAATTCCTTTCTGAATGCCTCTCCCTGGGATGGAGCAGGTAGCACAGAGGCAAGGTCTTAAAACGTACACAAAGGAGGGACCTGCTCCCCGCCTAGCCTAGCATTCAGACTATAGATGGGATCAGCCCCGGCTCTCCACCAGCCCAGCCAGCCAGCAGGGGCTGTCGCTAAACGGAGCCTGAATAGGGGTCTGATTGCTCCTTTTTCCTCCTCCCCTCCTGATTACCAAGTGAGATTTCCTGGGTATGCTGTATGCTAAATGCTGAACAGCCGCCTGCCACTTGCTCCAATTATCCCTCTTTTAACTGCTGAGGGAAGAACAATTTTTCTAATCTCCCCCCCTCCTATAACATCTCTGCCTTCTTTAAAGAAATAAGACCCTTCTTCCTTGTTCTCCCTTCAGTGGGGCGAGCACAGCCTCTTCCACGACTGCACACCAGCTGTGAGCTGCAAAGGGGGTGGGCAGTGGGTACCGCTCTGGTC